GTTCCTCTGTGAGGCTGGATATGTGTGTCTTGAAGGAAATGCATCCCATGGTTGCTTTTCTACTTACAAAACTTTTGTATGTACACATGTTCTCAGAAAAATATTAGCAAAATACTTAGCAATTTCTGTAACCATARAGATGTGGTTGATTCTTAATGATCTATGTGGTGTACCACGCAAAGCGTTTATGAACTACTTATGTACACCCTGGCTCTTACTCACAAATGATATTAACACCACATTCTCTTGCAGAGGAACCTTGACACTGGATTGTTATTTCAGACGTGCTCCTTCAGTGATTGACAATAACTGCCCTATCCAGCAAGTCTCTTCCTGGCTCAGAAGGATTCATTGGTCATACAAAGTTGCCAAGGGAACTTGTCAAAGAGTTTCTTCAGACTACCCGCTAGTTCTACTGAAGCAGATTTCAGAGAAGTTTACTAAGCCCCAACTTGATTTCCTGTCCACCAGAATTTGAAAATCACTGAACATTGTGGAACAGACAGAGAGGACATTATAGCTCTATCAAATTAGCTCAATCAAGTCTAGGTGGAAACTTTGTTGCACAGATCTGGGCATATTTGCCATCTTGGGGAACAACTGAATCTCTCAGGTCTCCGCTGGTGCAAGAATCTGCTTTTATCTTAAAGAGAGGTTTACATTAGCAGACGATAGGGTGTTCATAAGCTTATAAATAAGTGTAGACTATTCTCTATTACTCTTTATATTTAATCCCTTAAAAATGTAAACAAGCTGATCACATTACTTGTGAATTATGAAAACACAAAATTCCATTACTAGATCAATATGCATGAAATAAAAATCTAGTGTCACTTGTGTGGAACATAAATATTGTATAGGCACATCCTCTAGGTTGTCCTTATCTTTGTGTACCAGCGAGTCATTCAGAGTGAACAAAGAAAATATCAATTTCATTTATTGAGCAGCCATATATAAGTAATTGCTTTTATTGAAAAGAAGATGTTTCTTCTTGATTTTAATGCTTTCCTATTATAAAATTTGTTGAGAAAGACATTAAGAGGTAAGGAAAAAAGTTTGAAAAAATTACAATTATTTGTATCATTTTATTACTTTATAATATGAATGCAGAATAAGCAGCCCATCTCCCCTCTAATGTGTCACAAATTCAACCACTTAAATAGGAATAAAAATACAGATTCTTATGAAAATAGGCATTATCAAAAAACTTAAGACTTTGAATCTTTTTTTTTTTAAAGTTTTTTTGTTTTTTGTTTTTTTTAAAGAGAGAGTGAGAGAGGAGAGAGAGAGAGAGAGAGAGAGAGAGAGAGAGAGAGAGAGAGAGAAATTTTTTTTTTAATATTTATTTTTTAGTTCTCGGCGGACACAACATCTTTGTTGGTATGTGGTGCTGAGGATCGAACCCAGGGYGCACGCATGCCAGGCAAGCGYGCTACCGCTTGAGCCACATCCCCAGCCCAAGACTTTGAATCTTTGAAGGATGTATGCACTACTGTCTGAACAGTAAACATGGAGCCATGATATATATGCAGATCATTTATGCAATGTTCTCTAGTACAAAGAACATCCTGGCACCAGATCCCTCAATATAATGTATTTGCAACTGTCTGCTCTTCAGCAGCCTCCTGAAATATGCCAGCACTATTAAACTTCTCTGTGCCATTAGTCACACTCTCAGGTAAAACCTACGCAGGCGTTCTAGACTCCACAGCCTCTGTCTCCTGATAAATGAGACCTACATCCAGCAAGCCATTTGCTCTTCTTTTCCACTGTGCAATATTTTAGTTGATAAACTAACAAGAATCAACATTTTCTAATCTAGATAGCACCTCCTTTGAACATATTTCTCATTTTGATTGTAGTGAACAGTGTTGTTAATCAAAATGAACGTTCAAATCACAATTGCAATTTCCTTAATGAATCCCAATTCTTTCAGTAGAAAAGCCATTCTCCTTTGCTGACTATGCGGCATCCTTTGGTCTCCTCCCTGACTCCTTCCCAGGTGTGTGACTCACTCTAACAGACAGCTTATCTGAATACCCTCTAGGGCCCTGACTCCATGAGCATTGTTTTTCTTCCAAAATTCCTTTTCTATTTTCTAAAATAATTCTTCCTGATCCCCACCAGTACCTCCAGCACCTCCCCATCCCTGGGTCCCTTCAAGATCCAGTTGGAGGTCAGTTGTAGTTCCTCTGATTGATCCAGGGAAGTCATTGCCTTATGGTTGCTGGCCCTGCTTGGTTCCCCACCCCAGCCTTGGCTTCTGAAGTAGCACAGCTCTGTCACCTCAGTCTCCCCACTGGTCACTCCAGAACCATCAAGCAAGCAGAGGAGGAGTGGGTGTGGACAGTTCACTCTCCATGGCATGTGCCTATTCTAGAATGTGCCAAGTCATGAGAAGCATTGGAGGTAGGCAAGGCCCAGGTTACTTAAAACAAAGCATTAACACAAGTCTGTTACAGATATCAGAAATCACATTAAACACTGTTTTTTTAATGCAGCATAAGTATCATTAAAATATTTTCTAAGCCATTATTTAGCTAGATTAGCATAATAATGAGATAAAATAACAGAGCCCTGCTTTGCTTCTTTCCCTTGTTTGGGAATTGTACACTTTGAATTTTACACATTGTTCACTTATTTCTCCCATTTCTAGTTCTCTTTCTAAGCGTTAGGGTCACTTAAGTTTTCTTTTCTGAGGGGATCTGGCCATTTTTGCCCAGGCTGGCCCTCAACTCCTAGGCTCAAGGGATCCTCTGCCTCAGCCTCAGCCTCAGCCTCCAGGAGTTTGCATCAAAGGGTGGTGCCACTGTATCTTGCTCAGCTGTGACCTCCCAAATTGCTCGTTTGCTTTTTATAATTTTCTACAATTTGTATACACTTCTTGTATAATGACAATAATTATGTGTGCGTATATATATATATATATATATATATATATATATACACACACACATACATACATACATACAGCGAGATAGGGTTCACATGTAACAAATGCAGTTGCTTGATAAATAAAAAGCTGGTTCATAATTAGTACTTTTGTTTGAATTATGGAGAAAAATTCTGATATTAACCAGAAATTCAACACATTGTAGTTCAAAGTACTAGGATGGCATACTTACACAAATGGTCTTTTAGAACATTACCTGGCACTTCTGTATAAATCAGCAGAGGAACTGAACCTAGCTTTTCAATAGTCATTACATATAGTTTTTAGGAGTTTACAATTTACGTGGGTAAAATTTAGTATATAATTTACTAGGTGCCGCGGAAGTGACCAGGTGGTTGACTCCTGCCCATTACGTTCCATTTTTAAAAATACCCACATCTGCATCCCAACACCCATGGCGCTTCTAAAAGGAAAATGTATACGCACGACCAGTCCTTTTGGTTTCTCAGGTAACTTAGCACTAGGGAACCAGAAAAAGCTCGTGCGATGGCGCAACCCGCTGGGTTAGGGTCCTTGGAAAGAAGGGAAGGGGGGCGACCCTGAGAGTGCCGGGTAGAGCACACCTCGGTCCTGCGCCTGGAGGCGCTGCTAATGTGCGCCGCTCCTCTCTGGTCCCAGTGCGGCCTYCGCTCGCGCGGTGGCTCTGGCGGCCACCAGGGCGGTGTGCAGAGAATCTTCAGATCCCAGTAGTCTGCCGTTAGCTCGCACCGTCCACCCTTGTGAGCCGGAAACGGGGGACCCCAGGTTTTTCCAGCGCATCTGTCACTTTCCCTTCTCAGAACTCCGAGAGCCGACGCTAAGGGGCACCAGAGCCTCGGACTGCAGCGCTTGCAGCCGGCAGCCCGCGCGCCGCTGCGGAAGTCCTGGGCGGCGGAGGAGCCCACTGCGTGGGGGCTGGGCGCACGGGGGCGGGGGGCGGGGGCGGCCGCCGGAGCCGGGGCTGCTCCCAGGTGAAGGAATCCTCAGAGATTAAGACGTTGACSGCCCGGGTCCAGGTGGTGCGGGTATTTCTGCGTTTCCCCAAGTCTCCGAGTCCACTTCGAATCGTTAACTTTGGAAGTGGAAAACGTGGGCCAATATGGAACTATATATACATATATATACATATATGCAGTACATATGTGGCTGCCGACATGGGACCATCTGCACACATACATACRGACACACACCGTCCCTCCCCGGTGATAAAATCAACCGAGAATATTTATCGCAGTGGGGGCTGTTAATCTTCGGTTGTCCAGGGACCGCGAGGCACATTCACAGTCAGCAAATGTCACTTCGTCCCTCCTCTACCACCATCCATTTGAAGGAGGCCATTCCCTAGTGGGGATGACAACACCCGGACCCTGACCCCCGCAGGGATCTCTGACCTCCCGCCCGCGGCTCGGACTTTTCTCAGAGGCAGAGGGTGGTCGATGCTGGAGACATTCCGCAGCCTCGGCCGCGCACTCTGCATTCTGACTTTCTTCAGTGACAAAAGAAAATAAAAAGTGGGGAGGGGACGGACTGGAAAGGCCAGCGCGGCCGGGAGCCGGGCGGGGGCCTCCGCGTCGGCCCTCACCCCCGCCGCCCCGCGCGCCTTCGCCCTCCTCCCGGGGCCGGGCCGCCGCCAAGGCGCCAGGATGGTGAGACCTCGGCGCGGGAGGAGATGACGCAAAATTCAGCGCTCCCCCCCAAAAAGTGTTTCTCCAGGACGAAGATGGCGGCAACTTAGCCCGGGGACTGAAGATGACTGCGGTCTCGGGAGGCCCAGTCCAGGCGATTCGGCCCCGAGGTCCGGGGGAGGCGGCGTCAGCAGTCGGAGCCCCGGCGGCGGCGGCGCCCGCGGGCAGACCTGCGGCTGCGGCGGCGGCAGTCGGAGCGCGGGGTGGGGGGTGGGGGGGAGGGAGAGCCGTGCCGGCGGCGGCTGCCCAGGCTCCGGACTCGGGCAGAGGCAGCGCGAAGTAGGAGCGGGAGGCGGAGGAGACGCGAACCGAGAAGGAGAGGAAGGAGGAGGAAGAGGAGGAGAAGAGGAGGAGGAGGAGAAGAGGAGGAGGGGAGGCGCTCTGGTCGCCGTCAGTGGGCAGCGGAGACGCGGCATGCCCCTGGCAGGGGAGAGCGGGTTGTCCTCAGCACAGCCATGGGGACCCGCGCTCTGACAATGCCGGGGTGAGAGGAGCAGCGCCAGCCAGCCACCCGGCCACCTCCACCATCACCTCCAGTACTCAGCCTCGCCACCGGCCAGCACCAGCTCAGCCTCCTCCGCCTCTCCCTCTCTCCCTCTCTCTCCCTCTCTCTCTCCCTCTCTGCATTATTGTTCCCTCTCCACCGAGGATGGGGTCGGCAGATGATTAGGTCGGAAGCCAGTCAGACCTTCCTCCCAAGCCTGGTAATATTTATGTAGGCAAAGAGAGAGAGGGAGAGAGAGAAAAGAGAGGGAGAGAGAGAGAAAGGGAGGGAGAGAAAGAGGGAGAGGGGAGAGAGAGAGAGAGAGAAGAAACGGGAGGAGGGGATAAGGAAATTAAACCCTTTAAGTCAATGCATATTGTGGTGACACCCGCACAGGAGCCCTCACGGTGGAGTCGGCCAGGGCTGTGCGTTCCCAAAATATGACCAGGGGTGCTTGGATGTGTCGACAGTATGACGACGGCTTAAAAATCTGGTTGGCAGCACCCCGGGAGAACGAGAAACCGTTCATCGATTCCGAGAGGGCTCAGAAATGGCGACTGTCTCTGGCATCTCTCTTGTTTTTCACAGTCCTGCTCTCTGATCACTTGTGGTTCTGCGCCGAGGCCAAACTGACCCGGACCCGGGACAAGGAGCATCACCAACAGCAGCAGCAGCAGCAGCGGCAGCAGCAGCAGCAGCAGCAGCAACAGCGGCAGCGGCAGCAGCAGCAACAGCAGCAGCAGCGGCAGCGACAGCAGGAGCCCTCCTGGCCCGCGCTCCTGGCCAGCATGGGGGAGTCCTCGCCCGCCGCCCAGGCACACAGACTCCTCTCCGCCTCCTCGTCCCCCACCCTGCCCCCCTCCCCGGGAGGCGGCGGCGGCGGCGGCAAGGGCAATCGAGGCAAAAATAACCGGAGCAAGGCTCTTTTTCTAGGAAACTCTGCCAGACCCGTGTGGCGCCTGGAGACTTGTTACCCCCAGGGCGCCTCCTCGGGCCAGTGCTTCACGGTGGAGAGCGCGGACGCTGTGTGCGCCAGGAACTGGAGTCGGGGGGCGGCGGCCGGGGGGGAGGAGCAGCAGGCGAGGGGCGAGCATCCAACTCCGCTCTGGAACTTGTCAGATTTTTACCTTTCGTTTTGTAATTCCTACACACTTTGGGAGTTGTTCTCGGGGCTGTCCAGTCCCAACACTTTGAACTGCAGTCTGGATGTGGTGCTCACGGAGGGCGGAGAGAGGACCACTTGCAGACAGTGCGTCGCGGCTTACCAAGACTACGACCACCACGCTCAGGAGAAGTACGAAGAGTTTGAAAGTGTGCTCCATAAGTACTTGCAATCGGAGGAGTACTCGGTGAAGTCGTGTCCCGAAGACTGTAAGGTAGGAACAGTGGGCTTATTTATTTTTTTAACCTCCTTTTCTGTCCCTTTCTATCTCTGTTCACTCAGTGGATGTGTCAGAGTTTTGAAATATTTTCTGGCTCTGGCTTTGTTGCTCCAGTCGTTGTTTTACTGGTTAAAAGAGCTTGATTTGCTGCTCAGTTGAGAATTTCTGGTGGCCTGGTGTCTTCCTCTGGGGATCCTTGGAGGATCAGGGAAGTCCCTGGTCTTTTGAGATTATACACCCGTTGCTTTAACTATTTCGGTTACATATTTTTAAAAAATAGAATTTGAATAAGGCTTACCACGAAGACTGGACTGCACACTGGTGACCACAGGTAGTCAGAAGAGTCAGAGACTGCCATGCCTGGCTTGGCCTGTGGACCTGCACATTGAACCCTAGTGCAGTGACGTCATGAAGTTGGTTGACCAGAGGAGCCAGAGAAAGTGTGGTTGTTTATGTAGGACAAGCAACAAAAACATTTACTGCTTTTACAGGGCATTTTTTTTCTTCATCTTTGGAAAGTCTGAGGCCTAGTTAACTCTACTTAAGTTTCCTATCTTTTCTTAACATTTGCATAATCATTGATGTGACATTCACTAGGCATGGAAAGTTGTAATTAAGTATCTAGTGGTTCATTAACAATGTTAGGTTATCAATCAGACACATTTTGTAATTACTTTGGATTTTCCAGGGTAACTAGTCTTCATAAGTATTAAGTGGAAAATCTTTGGTGCCATGAATTAAAAATAGGCTGAAATATTTAGTAGCCTATATTCAAGCTCTTCCTATTGAATACAACAAGGAATGTAACCTTTGCTGACTGACAAAGAAGTTTGTGCAAGTTGCATTGATCTAGGCAAGCCTAGGCTAGAGGTGTTGCTGTCCCTGGTGCTGAAACGAGATTTTCCAGGGGAAGTGTTAAGATGAAGATACTGCAGTGACCTCTGGTAGGGTAGAAATGATGACAGAATCTCTACAAGTCTCAGTGTTTTCCACTAGGGTAATTTATTAAAAAACACAATGAATATCATTACCTTTCAAAAGAAGTGAGACAGCACTGTCTCTCTTTCTTTCTATTCCCTACTTACCCAACCTTACACACAAAGGGAACAACTGTCCTTCTTTACCTCTAACCTGATATGCACCTGGAAATTTTATCCATGATAGTATAGATAAAGGATTTGCATTGCTTTTCCAAGAGAAGACTTATTTCAGTAATAGGTATTTGATACCTATTTTAAATAAATATGGGTCAAGGGCTGCATTTTACTTTGGCTTGATTAGTTGTGCTTTTGACAATTAAGCTAACTTCAATCTGACCTGGTTTTGGGATCATTTCTTAAGACTAGAAGCATACATCTTAGGAAATAGTAATTCTGAGTTTATGGCATTAACTGAGAATGCTATCTTGCTAGATAAGTGGGTCTCAATTTTCTATAATACCATTATTACTCATGCCGAAGACTTAAACTCAATCTTAATGACAGAAATTAATAATGAATGCTTAGTGTATTTACTGTGGAGCTCTTTATTTTGACAAGATGTGTTGCACTGAAAATATAAAAGGGAAGGAAACTGCTATGTGTGAGTAATTCTATTCCTAAAACAAGGTTGCAGAGGTTTCAATATTGATAGATGGAAGAAGTTGTTTGTGGTAATAATTTGAACATGCCTGTTCCCTTGAATGTAAGCCCTCATAGAAATTTCTAGCACTTTAAATTTGTATAGTTCGGTATTTCAAAGATAGTCTGTGTTGTCAAGAGGCTGAAGCATATTTTTCTATAYGTATATCAGAGTTATCTTTGTTCAAATGTCCACACAAATATGTTAAAATGCTTATTTTCCTCCTTGCCTAAATTATTTCCCAACTTGATGTTTAAATTGTGATAGCTATAAGACATAGGATGAGTTAGATKTGTAATGTTATGAACTACTTCAGCATCACGTTTATGTAGAAAGTAGGAGTAGTTAGCTGTATACACAAAGGCACATTACCTTTAAAAATCTTAACCTCTTTAAAAAATTCTTCACGTTGAAAAGTAAAATATAAATTTTTTGAATTTTCTCCTCACCAAGACACAGAATTTATTGCCTGTGTGTGATGTCTTGTAGGTATTTCTTTGCTRTAGAGGTTTTTGTGGGTTTTTGTTTGTTTGTTTTGTTGTTGTTGCTGGTCATTTGGAAATATTTATTTATTACACAGTAGCCATTTAAAATATATGAATTTAAATTTAAAGTGTTGGTGTTCTTGGATTAAGGCTCAAAAATCAATTGGTTATATGTAGAAATGAGATAGAAGCATCGTTCCTTAGTTTAACGCATAGTTAATCTAGGATTCTGAAAAAGCCACAAATGTGTCTGCACCCAAACTCTGTCACGTGGGTTAAAATGTTACTTGTCGTCTTTGAAGATTGTGTCTGAGTTTCTTTCTCAATTATTTCAAACATAATTATAAAATGACTATCAAACAGAGCTTTGTTACAGATAAAAGTTCTGGGACAGGCAGGTAGCTCAGTGGTAGAGCACTTGAGTGGTCTGTCATGGGCAAGGCCCTGGGTTCTCTCCCAGCAATATGCCTCCGCCTCCCACTAAAAAAGATTATTTCTGTGAAAATTTTTCCATTTTTAAGGAAGTTACAAAGTCATGGAATACATTAAAAGTAAATGCATTATATTTCTGTAATTGGTAATACATTCATGAAAAATTCAATAGTTTATAAATACATTGATTAAAATTGTGGATAAGATATGTAAAAATATGTTAGCACTACAAAATAGTATGGTTAACATTTTAGGAAAATATATTAATATATTAATGTTTTATGCCCATATATAACAAAATAATCGATTAGTTGCTAGAATATATTTTACTTTCTGTTTTCATATTCTCTCTCTCTTCATTAAAACTTACCATATTCCACATATGTATCRAAGGAAAATGGATTAAATTTACTTTTGATTTAAATTATTTTAAATAGTTTCTGACCACTTTTTCTTAAAAAAACCTTAAAATATAGAATCATGGTATCTGAATTGCTAGTAATTTGAGCTCCAATAGAGCTTATTTACCATGGTAATCCTTTATATTATACCACATTATAGGAATAATTAACAACCAAGAATACTTGTAGTAATGTAAGAAATAACTGGTTTAATTTTTTTAAAAATAAAAATTTTCATATATGAAGACATAAAGAACAAAAATACCTGTTGCATATATCACTTATACTATAGATTTTAACTTGCTGCATTTTATAATGGATAGCAAAAATTAAAACAGTAATTTTTCTTTTTGGTTGCAGTGTTATTCAAAACGATATATTATATTCTTATTATATATTTTGGTATATAATAAGAATCTGACAAATCTGTCAAAATCTTCAAGTTGGCAGGCAATATTAAGATGTAATATTTTAAGCTTCAAAATTACAAATGYATATTATTTTTAGGCTTGATTTTTACTTAAATAAGGATTTTTTTCTTACATATGTTAAGCTCCTGAGGAGGATTACAAATAAATGTTGTAAAACATGGCATTTATGAATATTCTTTTTTGTATTCTGGGTAAACTTTTGTAGTTACTGAGGTTTTCCTTACGGACTGTACCCTCAGATACAGATACGTGGTGAGAGAACATGGATTTTTAAGGTTAAATTTTTACATAGGTCATTGTATCCTCCATAGCTTCCCTATATCAGCAAAAACTCTAGTCTTTATGCTCCATAAAAGTATTTCTATAGCCTCATCTCAAAGAAGGTTTTATTGCTTATTTATATTTAACAGACACTGACCACAAGGATATGATGTATTAGGCCTCTGTAACTCTTCTGATACTTGCAACATTCTGTCTTTTGGTAGGTACTGTTCACAATGTTACCTGATCTGAGAATGCAGAGTTTGGGTTACATAATGTGCAATTAAAAAAAAAAATCTTAGTTCTTATTTATTTTAGTGTTATGAACTTTAGATTCCATATTTTTATATGAAAAATAAGATTATTCACATTTCTTTTCATTTAAATTTTGAAATAAATATTTTATTTTGCTGCTTATTTTGTACTATTGTACATATTAGGTCACTGCCCAGAAATATGAAGAACACATCTATAGAGATCTCTTTCAAATTCTGCCACTTGATTATTTTCAAATTGTTTGTAGTTGAATGGTTCTCTACAGAAGGCAACAGTCTGATCATGCAGATGATTAATCACTAATAAGGTTATTTGTAAGACCAAAGACAATAACATATTTTTATGACCAAGATTTATAACTCTTATATTTAATTTTTGCTCAAAATGCAACTGCTAATTTGTGATCTGTGTTTTGCTTTTATAGAGAAACACCCCAAATTTTGTATTAATAGTAGATTTCTGTTGTATTACAGATCAAAGAATGAATATTTTTACTTTGGACTTGTAACTGGGTCAAATTAGTAGCTATATAGGGCACAACCTACTTATCCAAACCTAAGGTTTGAAAGCTTGCAGATATATGTTGGTTTTAATCACCTGTATTAGATGAGGTCAGCGTGTGCCTATTCTAGGTGAATTAAAGCATAGAGGAAAGACAATCAATCCAGCCCTCGGTCTCAGGCTATTTACATATAAATCATAATCCATTTTCTTGTTAGGTTTAACATGTGAGAACAAATATGCAGAAAACTGTCTCAAATAAAGGACCATTTGGGTTTGAATTTTCTGAGGTATTGCTTTTATTTTATCTCTCAGTTTGAAAAACCTTCATCGGTGTCAATCTCACAATGACTAAGCACCGACTCTCTTGTGTATTAATTCATATCATGAAGCGGTTCCTCAAAATAGGGAACAATAGAACAGTGGTCCTTGGGGTCACAGTGGAGTATCCTGAGGAGTCTTGGAAACAGCAAGGCCTGGGTATCCCCAAACCCAGAGATTCTGATGTCATTGATCTGGCTTGAGTTCTGGGCCTGAGTGATTCCAAGGTGCAGCCAAGGTTGAGAACCACTTCCCGGTTGACAGTG